TCTCCTCTCTCTCTCTCTCTCTCTCTCTCTCTTTCTCTCTGTCTGTTTTTCTCTCTCCCCTTTTTGTCTTTATACGTCTACATATCTACAACTTCAGTACACGCACAGACATATACATCCCTCTTTTGTTCCTCTTTTTTCTCAAATCCGTTCCATACATTGACACAATAGAAGGAACCTTATACACACGTTTTATTCCAGGAAATATATGCTTATAGTTGAATTTCGTATATTGTTAATATATTTTTTTCTGTCAATATCTAGGGGTGTCCCATCGAAGAGTCCAACGTTAACGCACAGTCCTACTATGTACGGTGACGCGCTAAATGCCAACCTGCAGGTAACTATTAATAATTAATTTCTAAAAAATTAAAAGTTATATTTATATAATTTTTTATAATTTATTATCTATCCAATTTTGTAGTCTGAGATGCGTTAAGATGGATTAATATTGATACAAATAATAGAATGAAAAATATTATTTATATAATATTAAAAAATGTCCATCTAAAAGATTTTTTTAAATCTCACGAACTTTCGCATTTATCAATTTTTTCAAATATAATAAATGGTTAAATCAATTAAAAATAAAATTGTGCTTTTTTCTATAATTAATAATACATAATAAAAATTATTAATTGATTTCTTTGAAATAAGAATATATCTATAATGGTTAAGTAAATAATATTTGGTATTAAATCGGTAATAACTAACCATCTAATGCAATTTGAGTATTTCCAGGCACTCGGAGAGTCTAATATGGGATTTTTGAACAATCCGATGTGCACCTCCACAGCGACAAGCCCTGATAAGGAACATGTGTTACCTCATAATGACTTAATGTAAGTGATTCACATAAGCGCGCCATTTTTATTCATTTCTCTTTAAATGTCAACATATTTTACATGTTTACAACATATTTTATCAAATCTTGACTAAAGCGTTGTTAGAATCTACACGATAACTTGCGTGCATTGCAAACGTCTGTGTTATATTTTTGAAATATTTCAGCTTAGTGAAATAGTGACAACAGATATCTAGTTTTTTTTATTTATTCAAAATTACAAATTTTGTTTAATTCACAAACGTATTTACTAACTTTGCATGACCTATTTTGAGTTCTATCGTGCACGATGCAAAAGCTGCTCACCCTTCTCCTCGTGATTCTTTCGCAAAACACAAACTATCCGTTGCAGCTTGACAAACCGCTTGAAACTGCCGCAATGAAACAATTCTGGAAAAGTGAAATCGTTATTCTCTTGTCGGTGCAGTGCGGACGGTGTCGCTAAAAAAAATATTGCTTTGTGTCACGTTTTATAAAACATATATTCCAACACCAGCATGCTGGTGTCTGCAAGTTTTTTTTTCACTCATAAGCGTATACAACGCGTTCGCGCGTGTCGTCGATTCAACAGGTCGCCGCTGGATGAACCGGCCGTGCACATAAAACAAGAGAGCCACAGTCCCGAAGGAGGAAAGCACACGAGATTAATAAAGCGTGAGCTGCCGGACGGTTCCATAGAGCAGGAAACGGAGGAGGATCAAACGGATGAGAGAGAATACTCGGAGAGCCATGGCCACGACTCTGGCCAGGACGAGGACATAGCAGAGGATCTGTCGATGGCACCCGATATAATGATCCCAGAGGATCAGGTCGAGGCGTAGTACTGCCCCATGATGAGTCAGTAAAAAAAGTCGAGATGTATACAAGATGTGTCTCGTGTTTGTCAAGCGAAGAGACAAATCTTCTATGTTGATCAGGTCAATGTAAAGATAAAAAATGAGGAGAGAGAGAGGGGGAG